GGTCCTGGGGGGGCTCAGAGGGGCTCAGGGGGGCTCAGAGGGGCTCAGGGGGGCTCGGGGGGGTCCGGCCATGCCCAGGTCATCCCAGGTCACCCCGGGTCACCCCGGACCTACCTGCGGGTGGTGGTGGCTGAGGGGGGGGGGGTGAGCTCCGTGCCAGCCCGAAATTCCCAATTCCCAATTCCCGGCCCCGCGATTCCCGATTCCCAGCCCGGAGATTCCCGATTCCCGGGGTCCCAGCCCTGCGCCCCCTCCCCCTCCTCTCCCGCACTCCAAACAAACCAGGAACCACTTGGCGAACCAGATCCTTTTCCCTGTTAACCCTTTTCCCGCATATCCGGGGGTGCCGCTCCCGCTCCCCAAATCCGGCACCGCTCCCCCCTCCCCCACAGCCTCGGCACCCCCCGATCCCCTTTTCCAGGGATCCCCTTTTTTCTGGGATCAGGAACAGCCCCCTCGGGGTCCCGACTCCGGGAGATCCTTCCCATGGGATTTATGGATAATTCAGGGGCGGGAGGAGCTGCGCACCCCCAAAGCACCGCAGGGCAGGGCGGGGGTGACTCCGTGCCTCAGTTTCCCCGCCCCAAAGGCAAGAATTCCTTCTCCCCCCCCCGGAGTATTCCCACTTTTCCGACCCGCGGCCGGCAGAACCCCAAATCCGCGGGGCTGAACCCCAAATCCGTGGGGCCGCCCCCACATCCCCACCTTGTCCCGGTTCCGGACGGGTCACACACCTCGGGCCAGCCCAGCACAGCCGGATCCAGGCGGGATTTCATTTCCTGGGAAAAGCGAGCGTGGAGCGGGTCAATCCCGGCTGGACCGGCTCCATCCGCTCCGGAGGCACCTGCGGGAGCCCCGGGGGGAAGCGCCCCCCACCCACCGGGAATATCCGGGATCATGGAAAAGCTCCGGGAGCGCGGAAAGCTCCCGCAGCCTCGGCCGGGGGTGCCGGGCCAGCAGAAACTCCGGGAAAATCCCGAATTCCCCAAGAGCCGAGCGTTCCCTCTGGATATTCCCGGGGGCTCGTCCTGCAGGGAACGCGTTTGTTTGAACAAATGGGCGGAACCGGGACCTTTGCGCGGGGCTCGGGAGGTGCCGGGAGGTGCCAGGAGGTGCCACCTCCCGCTCCCGAAGCTTTTCCAGGGATTTCGTGGGCTCCGGGGCCGGGAATGAGCCTTTTCCCAGGTTTTGGGGTTAAAGTTTTGGCTCGGCGTTTCCTGGTTCTGCGGGTCCGCCCCGGAGACCTCCCCGCGGTGCTTGTGTGCACAAACCTTTGGAATCGGGGCGGAATTGGGGAAGTCGGGGCTCGAATTCCCGAATGGAGGCGGGAGCGGGGCCTTCGGGTCCTCTCCAGCCCCAGCCGCCATCCCAGGGCAGGACAAAAACTCCTCCCGAGGAGCCCCAAAATGCCCGAGATATTCCAGGTGGAGCCGGTGACCTCCGAGGTCTTTTACAGCCTGAATCATTCCGTGATTTCCAAGGGAATTCTGGAACCGCCTCCTCCTCCTCCTCACCCGGGGGTCTCATCCTGCCCCATCTCGCAGCTCCACCTCCCCAAATCCAGGACCAACATTCCCGAGCTCCAGGATTTGGGACACAACAGGGAACAGCTCCTTGTCCTTAAAAACCTGCCCCAAACCCCAACCCAGCCGCTGGGAATGAGCCACCTTCGCCCTTTTCCAGCTCCAAATCCCATGGGAGCGGCAGCAGGAGCCGGATCCTGCCGGGATCAGCCTTACCCGACATCCCGGTGAGGAGATTCCCGGAGCTCCGGTCCCATCCCGAGGGTCCTGATCCATCCGATCCGTCCCGAGGGTGCTGAGCACCATCCCGAGGGTGCAGGATGAGTCCCGAGGGTGCTGAAGGCTGCTGAAATTGTCCCGGGGTTTTGGACTGTCCTGGGTGATCTGGAACCTCAGCGCCGGGCGGGGTCCAGCAGAATTGTCTAGAAGCCCCAGACTGGTTCCAGAACCTTGGGACTCTCAGGATGGATTTTGGGGTGAAATTTGGGGGTTTTGGGTGGAAATGCCGGCAGGAATTTGGGCTGAAGTTCTGGGGGGAATTTGGGGGTGAAATCCGGGGATTTTGGGGTTTTTGTGGCCGAGCGAGCCCCCGGGAGCAGCAGCAGCACCCGCGCCGGGGCCGCACCCACGGTGACACCGCGAGGGCAAAAAACCCCGGCCCGCTTTGGGGGGAAAAAGGCGGAATAGGGGAAAAAACGGGATCGGGGAAAAATAAACGGGAATTGCGGGAAAATTGGGAATTGGGGGAAAAGGCGGGAATCAGGATAATGGGA